GATCGAACTCGAATTAGTCAAATTATTACAATTGAAGTCAAATTGGTACATTCTCGGTCAATTATAGTGTAATTGAACTCGAATTAGTCCAATTGAAGTCAAATTAGTCAAATTAAAAGGTAAATTAGTACAATTTAACTTAAATTAGTACAATTGAAGTGAAATTAGTACATTCTCGGTCAATTATAGTGTAATCGAACTCGAATTAGCACAATTGATGTCAAATTAGTACAATTGAATTCAAATTAGTACAATTGAAGTGAAATTAGTACATTCTCGTTCAATTATAATGTAATCGAACTCGAATTAGTCCAATTCAAGTCAAATTAGTCCAATTAAAGTCAAATTAGTCCAATTAAAGTCAAAGTAATACAAATTAAGTCAAATTAGTACAATTGAAATAAAATTGGTACATTCTCGGTCAATTATAGTGTAATCGAACTCGAATTAGTCCAATTGAAGTCAAATTAGTACAATTGAAGTAAAATTAGTGCAAATTAAGTCAAATTGGTACAATTGAAATGAATTGGTACATTCTCGGTCAATTATAGTGTAATCGAACTCGAATTAGCACAATTGAAGTCAAATTAGTACAATTGAAGTCAAATTATTACAATTGAGGTCCAATTAGTATAATCCCGGACAATTCTATTGTAATCGAACTCGAATTAGTCCAATTGAAGTTAAATTAGTACAATCTTGGTCAATTATAGTTTAATCGAACTCGAATTAGTCCAATTGAAGTCAGATTAGTACAATCGAAGTCAAATTGGTACATTCTCAGTCAATTTTAGTGTAATCGAACTCGAATTAGTCCAATAGAAGTCAAATTAGTCAAATTGAAGTCAAATTAATATAATTGAAATGATATTGGTACATTCTCGGTCAATTATAGTGTAATCGAACTCGAATTAACACAATTGAAGTCAAATTAGTACAATTGAAGTCAATTATAGTGTAATCGAACTCGAATTAGTCCAATTGAGGTCCAATTAGTATAATCCCGAATAATTCTATTGTAATCGAACTCGAATTAGTTCAATTGAAGTCAAGTTAGTACAATTGAAGTGAAATTAGTACATTCTCGGTCAATTATAGTGTAATCGAACTCGAATTAGCACAATTGAAGTCAAATTAGTACAATTGAAGTCAAATTAGTACAATTTACATTCTCGGTCAATTATAGTGTAATCGAACTCGAATTAGTTCAATTCAAGTTAAATTAGTCCAATTAAAGTGGAAAGATCATGTAAAATCTTTGTAAATTTGTTATTTTTCTTGAAAAAAAGACTAAAATTAGACCGATAATGAGTTTAATATTTTTATAATGTATTATATGACGAATCAAGGTCTCGTTTAAGGTGAAATTGGTCGAAAAATAACTATAACAATTGTACATTCGTGTTTTCAATGTTATAATGAATGTACAATTGTTATAATTGTTTTCCTTAACAAACGCGATTTCTTTATGGTTTTTTCGATCGAATTACTTGATAACTCATGTATATTCATGTTAAGTGTCATTGGAAGGATAGTTTGAATGTGTTAGAGCATCGATACACTCACAACGAAACTCGTTTTTAAAATAACAATACATGTTCTTATTTTTATTTTTTTTTGAAAAATAGAAGTATGATGTAAAATGTTTGAACATTCGTTATTTTACACAAAAAATAACTACAATTAGACCGATAACGAGTTTAATATCTTCATAATGGCTTATATGACGAATGCACGGTCGTTTAATGTGAAATTTGGTCGGAAAACAACCATAACAATTGTACATTCGTTATTTCAATGCTATAACGAATGTACAATCGTTATAGTTGTTTTCTGTAATAATACAGAATTCCTGTCAGGCCGTCGCGAGCGCGACGGGTGTCGCGTGCGCGACACCCTCGCTGACAGAACCACTGTCAGGTCGTCGCGGGAGCAACAATTGGACGGATTTTTTTATTAAAAAATAAACTTCTTTTATACAAAAATAATTTTTTATACAAAAAATTTAAATAAAAAATATTTTTTTATTAAAAACGGATTTTGAATAAAAAATATTTTTTTTAAAACGGATTTTTTTTATTATTTTAAAATAAAAATAATTTTTTATGCAAAAAAATTAAATAAAAAATATTTTTTTATTAAAAAATATTTTTTTTATACAAAAAAATGTAAATAAAAAATATTTTTTTATTAAATAAAAATAAAAATAAAAGTTTTTGAAAAAAAAAAAAATAATATTTAAAAAAAACGGATTATTTTTATTTTTTTAAAATAAAAATAAATTTTTATACAAAAAAATTTAATAAAAAATATTTTTTATTAAAAAATAATTTTTTATACAAAAAAATTAAATAAATTTTTTTATTAAAACATAATTTTTTATACATATAAATTTAAATAAAAAATATTTTTTTATTAAATAAAAATATTAATAAAATTTTTTTATAAAAAATATTTTTTTTTTCAAAATAACGAATGTAGATTCGTTATACCATACAAAATAACGATAGTACAATCGTTATATTGAAATGAATGTATGTCGCGGCCGCGATATTTATCGCGGGAGCGACACTGGGCCCTGTTCTTGGTCGGACAGAGATTGTTGCCAGGACGTCGCGGCCGCGACAGGCGTCGCGGCCGCGACAGGCGTCGCGCCAGCGACAAGCAATTTATTTATTTTTTATACAAAATAACGATTGTATCAATTTATCATCTTCAATTCCATCAAAACTAGTAAAATTGCATGAATTCACATAACACAGTCAAAATCTTACTCTAAGATTATCAAAGGCTCAAAAAGATGGAAATTAAAAAAATAAAAAATTGACCAAAACCGAAGAAATACGTACCGAAATTGACGAGAGAGCTCCATAGGGTCAGACGCGAGAGCGAGAAACAGAAAGACAAGGTCGAAAGAGAGAGAAAGTAGCGAGAGAGGGAGGAGCAGAAAGAGTTCGAAAGAGAGCAGTTTCTGTGAGGTGTTCGGTTTTTTTCTTCAAGTTTGAAGAAGAATACAAGATAGATAAAAGGGGTATAAGAGTAATTGCCTTTTTTAAATTATTTTTCATTAAATTTACTTTTACATTTTCAGTCAAAGGTCATTTGGCCAATTTTGTGTCTGTGGTGGGTCATTCCAACCAATTCCCACGCGTGTGTGTGGGTGTGTGGATGTGCGGTTGCCTCTGGCAGGTTACCCTCCGGTTTCTACAGTGAGGCTGTGAAATCAAAGGGTTTTGATTCTAAAAGTCATTTGTTTTCTTTTACTATCGGTAAACGACTTTTAAGTCATTTTGCTAGAATTGGATGGAACCGGACGGAAGAAAATCACGAAAACGGCCCACATTATCCATTGATGATGCTTCGCGCCAATATTACCTTTTATTTTTTAAATTAAATTGTTTATTTATTGTATTAATTATTTTTTAAACAAAATATTGGCTAATATAAAAAATATTTATTTAAATATTAATTTTATTTCATATAATTGTTTTATGATTGTTTAATATTTTGCTTATACTCTGACTAATACCTTTATTTTGAATCCAAAATCATGCATGTTCCAAAAATCGAGCTAGGCATCGACTCTAGGCTGCACCTGAGAGCCCCAATTTTCGTCTAGACGCCCTTCTAACCGCTCAAACAATTAGGCATTATCTATGCGGGCTAGGCAGTGCAGTTGCGAAGTCACACCTACACTAATTAGACGGTCTAGACGACGACCTTTCAGTTCTAGCACAGTACATAATAAAAATAGATTTTGAATTATCAATTTTAATTTATAATTGAATTAGTTGTTGATTGACATAGCAGTTTTTGTTTGCCGATAGAATTAAGCGATTAGTAGAATTGTGATAAATAATTATGTTATGTCTTGTTAGATTGTGAATCTGAATGAAAGATGATGAAGATGAAGGCGGCGATGAGTTTAGAGAGATAAAGAGAAAGGGAAAATAAATTCTGTATTAATGAATTAGGTCAAAACTGTACAGAGTGTTTGGTATTTATACGAAAAGCTAAGTTACCAAAATTGCTAAGGAGAAGGGAACAAATATAAAGAGCACTTACATGTTTAACAACTATATACAATATGACTAAGAATATAAAATACAAATTGGAAATTATATATAATCTAACACCCCTCCCTCAAGAGGGGCATGGATGTCCAGCATGCCCATCTTGCAGATATTATCATGAAAAGGTTGAATGCCCAAAGGTTTAGTAAATATGTCAGCAACTTGGTTCTTGGAAGGAACAAACTTCAAATCAATGATGCCCTTAGAAAGCTTTTCTCTCACAAGGTGGCAGTCTATTTCAATGTGTTTGGTCCTTTCATGTTGAACCGGGTTGTTGGCAATGGCTAATGCAGATTTGCTATCTGAAAATAAGATCACAGGGCATGAATGAGAAATCTGCAAATCATTAAGTAAATAAAGGAGCCATTGAGCTTCACAAGTGGCAGAAGCCAATGCCCTATACTCAGATTCTGCAGATGATCTACTAACAGTTGTTTGCTTTTTAGATTTCCAGGATATTAAAGATGATCCAAGAAAAAAGGCATAACCTGTGATGCTTCTCCTGGTGTCTATACAACTAGCTCAGTCACTATCACTAAAACCATGTAAAAGTAATTGAGAGTTTCTGGGATAGAGAATACCTTTGCCAACTGTGTTTTTGATATACCTGAGCACCTTGTATGCAGCACTGAGATGTTGTTGTGTGGAGGCAGACATATGTTGGCTT